CCCCGTAAGAGTGAATCACGTTATATCTATGAGTACTGTGATTGAATTCGTGTTTGCTGGTTTTATTCTGTAATTCCAAGATCGTTTAGGTGTGTTTTACGTCTTTGTTTGAGGCATTCTTATTGGCGTGTATCCTAAGAAGTGGTATCAAAGCATACGGTTTGGGAAAGACAGAATCTTTCGCCATAGGATCTACAGTTGAAGACAATGAGGTTCGCCTGTTTGACGAGGTTCGTTCGATCGACGAGGTTCGTATGTCATACGAGGTTTGCATGTTTGACTATGTTCGTTCGTTCGACGAGGTTCGTCTGTCATAAGAGGTTCGCCTGTTTGACGACGTCTGTTTGTCAAATGAGGTTCGTCTGATTTACTGAGACGTGACCCTCGCGTTTCGTAGCAACGCGTCCATTGATTGCCTCGTATTCAGCAGTTACCGCATGCAGTAGTTACAACAGCATTAAGGGCAATTTAATGCATTGATGTTATAATCTTAATTGTCATTAAGAATTGTAACGGTTACATTAATTGCAATGACTCTTGAGCTGGTCTTAGAGGCCTATAAATAGAGCCCTTGGGCAGTTCTTGGTGGTTGTTGGAAAATCTCTCGCGGGCGTGGAATATGAACGTCAGTATAGAATACGAACGTCGGAATACCCACGCAAGCTTGGAATACGAACGTCAGATTGACGTTGTTGTTGTGCTGTTGTTGCAGATACTGTGCCCACAGGAACCTTGAACCCGAAAGGTTTTGAACCAAAAGGTTTTGAACCGAAAGGTTCTGAGATCGAGGAGATCTTTTGCCTTGACCGAATGGTCTTACAGATCGATGAGATCTTAACAGTACTGGGTTGGTGCACACCAGAGTACTGTACTGCTGTTCCTGAAAGCAGTTTGGCCTTGGGATCCTTGTACCGGAGTAGGTCAAATATTGCTTTAAGCACAGCGTTTCACAAACACACAGTAGCTAATTAAAAATTTTAAAATAACAGCACATCATCCTTCACTGTTTAATTCCAGATTTAACCATAATTTCCAACAATCAATTACACTAATAAATGTATACTAGTTACTTGGATTTACAATTGATAAGAGAATACTGTCCTATTATATTTTCGTATTGTATGATTTTCTTTACAGCAGCCTCTATATGATGTTTTTTTTAAATTAACTAGCTTCGCTTGCCACTTAAATTTTTTGAAAGGCACAAGGAATGAGAAAACAAAACATATGGAGCCCTATGTAGTTCTCTGAAATTTACTCATTCGTAAAACATTGGATATTTGGATGGATCATATAAGTTTCTTATCCATTTACAACTACAGATTGTTACAGTTTGGAATGTGTTGCTAAATTAGAAACTAATGACTTCTAAAAGGGAAATGTTTTCCTAAGGTGACACCTTAGATTCTCATCTAAGGACGCGGTCTAAAATCACATCATCCCCTAGTTATTTTTTAAGATCCGCTCCGTTGAACTTGATCTACACATTCTTAAACCCAAACACACCAATTTTGGGGTGAACCCGTCGTGTTTTGACCCTTCATCCACTCACCGTAATTTTAACAGTTTTGAATGAGTAGAACTTTTTGCATGGCTCAACGAAGGGTCAAAACACGACGGGTTCACCGCAATTTTAATGGTTTCGAATGAATAGAACTTTTTGCAAGGCTCAACGAAGGGTCAAAACACGACGGGTGCACCCAAAATTGATGTGTTTGGGTTTAAGAACGTGTAGATCAAGTTTAACGGAGTGGCTAGTAAAAAAAAGGCAATGATGTGATTTTAGGTCGCGTCATTAGGTGAGAATCTAAGGTGTCACCTTAGGAAAACATTACACCTTCTAAGCGTTTGGTTACCATTGCGTTTGTGTTGTTTTCGTTTTGTTTAAAAAAAAAACAAAACGTGTTTGGGAACCGCTCTGTTGTTTCCGTCCAAAACACCAACACCCCAACCTTCAACGGTTTCTAAAACAGAAAAAGATGTTATAAGGTCCCGTTGTTTTTCATTTCCCAAAAATCTCACAGCTTAGCATCTGAGCGTCACCTCTCCCAAGAGCCCAAATCGCCGTTCGCCGCCTTCGTGGTCGTCGCCGTCTCTCACCACCTTCGTGGTCGTCACTGTCGCCTCCAGATCCCCAAGAGCAGTCGCCGTCGTCCAGATCCCCTAATCCACGTCGCTATCGCCGCCTTGCAGCAGCATATAGCCATCGTCCAGATCGTCGTCGTCGCCCAAGCTTCAGATTTGAACCTCACCGCCGTCGACGTCGCTTTCAGATCTCGTCGCCGTCACGTCGTGGTCGTCGCCGTCGCCCAAGCCCCAGATCTGACTTCCGCCGTCGTCGTCGCTTCCAGATCTTGTCGCCGTCTCCCCTAATCCCGTCGCCGGTGATCTCAACGCACTGTAAGCTTTTTTTTGTCTGATCTGATTATTTTTTCTTTTTTTGCTGAATATATGATTGTTTTAGAATTTATTCAGTGATCTCTTGTTCTGATTATCAACTCTTGCAAATGCAAGCCTCCTAATCCCTTTCCCCTAGTGTCATCAATTTCTTTGTCCTGCTTGTTCTTCGCCAAGTTTGTGTTGACGATCTCATGAATCCAATATGATATAGGTAGTCTCTGTTGTTCAAGCATTAAGTGAGCAAAATAAACTTCCCAAGTTTAAACTAACACCAATGTTTTCAAAACACTTTGGGAGAAAAACCAAACACCAATGTGTTTTTCTAGAAAAACACAACAACAAAAACACCTTGGTAACCAACTAAAAATTTGTTTCTGTTTATATTGAAGACTGCTTATTTCTCTTCAATTATGGTATAACTATTCCAAGATTAATTGTTCATAGGCATTTAAAAATTACACAGAACTGATCTGGGTCTTTTCCTCTTTGAGCTCCTTCTGTCTCACGTGAGAAAGCCGGAACTGATCTGATGCCTGCAACAAAAGAGGTTAGTATCACATGCACCCCCAATAAGTAAAGAGCTTTGCTATAGGGATCCAAAATATGGGACCAATAGGGGGGACAAGTGAGGTGTCCACCTCCTATTGGATAATGAGTTGACCATCATTAATGATGACCAACTCATTATCCAATAGGAGGGGGACACCTCACTTGTCCCCCCTATTGGTCCTATATTTTGGGTCTTGAGGAATTTTTCATAAATAAATATTCAGGGAATAAGAGGTAGCTGGTAGTAAAAAAGCAAAAAAGGAAACTGACAAAACTGGACCATTCCTTTGTCTTTTGCGTTGTGGACATTTTCACGCTCTTGAAATTATCGTTGTATTCCTTGCATACCCCTGGCCAGTGTCTGGTGATGAAGTACGTCACAAAATCTGAGAAAGCCAATACACAATTGCATTATGTCACGCACAGCTTAAACCAAGCTATTATTAGTCCCATTAGAGCAGCTCCAACGTGGGGCTCTATTTTGCATCTCAAACTTTGACATATTCCTTAGAATATGCTAAAATAGAGTTATGTAACTCCAACCACACTCCTCTATTTCCAACTCCATTTCAATTTCTCTCAATTTTTTAATTCTTTTACTTATTTTAAAAATATATAATGTAATCATATATTTAAATAAAATTAATTTTCTTTAATGAATTGATAATAAGAAATAGAATTAATTTTCTTTAATTCTTGGAATTTTATATTTCAATTAATATTATTTAATATTACTCTCATTTTGAATATATAAAAAAAATAAAAGTTATATAATATAAATAATATTAGTAATAATATTATTAAATGTATTAATATAAAATAGGCATTCGGATTAAATTAAACATTCAAGTTGTTGATTTGGTAGTTACAGACCGTCAAAGAAACAATATTTTGCAATGATGCAAGAAGCTTGTCGAAAAGATGTGGAGCAAGCGTTTGGTGTTCTCCAGTCAAGATTTGCTATAATCAAGGGCCCTGCACGGTTTTGGGATAAACGAACTTTGCATAATATCATGACCACTTGCATAATAATGCACAACATGATTATTGAGGATGAACGTGATGAGCAAGAAGATATTATCGTTTATACTCCACCATCAATTTCAAATGTTGAAGACATAGGGACGAACGATGCCGAACGGTTCCGTCAATTCCTGACCCGACATAAGAAATTCAAAGACAAAGAAGCACACTTCGCACTTCGAAATGCATTAATTGAACATTTGTGGGAGAGACACGGCAATGAAGTGATGTAACTTTTTTTTATTAAAGTTTCGATGTAATTCTAAATTAATGTGTTTTTATTTCAGTTTAAGCTCCAATGTATTATCATTTCTAATTACTTGTTTTGCAATTTTATATTTCGATATTAGTCTCATTTTGAAGGTATCGACGAGACATTTCCAATGATATTATTTTCATTAAAAAATATTTAATATATTAATATATATATATACAGATTTTAAGTAACTATAAAAAATAATAACGGGATACAATTGGAATAATGAAATGTTGTTAAAGAGATTGAGGGTTAACTTTGGTATTTTTTTGGGGAATAGTAGTATAGAATTGGCTGCAAATTTGGAGAGAAATCTTCAAATTTGCTATGCAGTTCGGTTGGATGAAGATGCGGCTCCAAAATGGAGATATCGCGGAAGATTGGAGCTGCTCTTACCCATATCAAAACAGAACCCAAGAACAAGAAAACAGTTGCCAAAAATGCAATCTTCATCATCTAACGCTGCGAGAAACATTCATCATGAAACTGGACCTGTCCATTCCAAGCACTTGACAGCAAAACAAAAAATAAATTGAAAATGAAAATTTATCAAATTATCCCAATCAATGAAAATATATGGAGTATCTTTTCATCAATTCTCACCGTTTTTCCAAGTGCTGATGAATGGAGTGCACGATAGTAGCAAAAGAAACACGCACATCGAATAAGTTACAACAGCTACATAAGTAGACGCTGGATATCTCTGTTCTAAGTTTTCATTGGAATTTCTGGTAGAAGTCACGAGTCGAAAGAACTCATTATGAAGCAAATGAAAAGAGGGATAGCACCTTCACCTCGTATAGTAACCAAGTTCATTTCCTTGTAGAGTTAAAAGATGCATTGCTGAGAAACAAACTCTTTATTTTCAAGTTTCCAAACATGAGAACGAAAAGACACAGGAACTAAAAGAAGAATACAACGGAAGGGTTGGTTTCACATTTATCCAAGTCCCAGAGAGGTTTTCTTAAAGGAAACACAAAATGACCAATTACAGTCCTCGTGAATCATGGCATAAGAAACACAAAGCCACGCATAAATGCAGATATGAAGGCACGATGTCCTGTATAAAAATAAACACCATGAATCAGTAACAGAGTTTTAGAGAAGATGATAATATAATTAGCATTTAACACAGCGAAAGGAAATTATTAATTCTTAATTAGGGTACTAATGCACATATAATCAACAACAAAATTTTACGCAAAGATAAACAGTGCAGAATTCAGGATCTAACATAGGTCCATCGTAACTCCATAGCTTTGATGGCAGGCGACCTAGCTGAATAAACAGTTTAGTAGCATTAACAGATTTTTTTGTCTATCCCACGTTGTGCCACCCTATAAACAAAATAACAGTGTCCTTGTTACATGTCGATATCCTCGAGATATCCCTCACCCAGCACATATGGAAATGAGACTTCATCTGGTATTTTAGCCTACTATATTTGTGCCAAGATAAGGTATGTGATTTCACAAGGTGAATAATAATATCTTATGTATTTGTCCATATCATTTTTTGGTGTAGTGGAATTTGGAGTTCGGTTTCTTAGTTGGCACGAGCATAAACCAAGTGACCAAGATTGCAGACCTACCAACAACCAGCTGGCCATCAAGGTTCTAACTCAATACTGTTTTGATGTTGGCGATGTTCCCTGTGGCATCGTCTGGCACTCTAAGTCATTCCTTTAATAAAGGAATTAAGCTGCAAGTTATTAATTGACGATGATTTGTTATTTCTGGAGTGATAATGTCAATGTGATTGCATTTGACATTTTATGCATGCCTTTAGGACAGATTCATGCAGTAAAAGACGTATACCAGTACACACATAGGCAGCCAAGTCTTGAAAAGAGGGAAGTAGCCTGTGATGTAAACAAGAACACGAAAGCTGGTTAAAAAAGTGCTCTCGATTGTGGTACTATCATATGAATAAGAACTACAAATCAATCAAGCTGAATATTAACCCCTAATATTTCCAATATAACCCCTATGAACCAAGTGTAGGATGCTTCACCATGAGATTACAAATAAGTAAATAACACCACATCATCGACTAGGTGGAATTCAAAGCAGCAAGCTTCACATGCATTTCAGGAAAGTTATCATAAAGTTCCACACATCACTCTTAAATGAAGAAGCAATTCTCAAAACATCTTCTCATCATGCACAAGAAGAACCCATGGTCGTCATCCTGTGCTATCTCACAGGCTTGATGGTGGTGGCGGTTGCAGACAATGTGCAAAAACGTACATTACCAGCAAAGCCATTCAAAGGAAACCCTGAAAAAGGCGAACAATCCCCCACCATCACCCACTCCGGTGGAAAATGTGAATATCCTACTTACCTGTTGGTCACCATCAACGTCAGGCCATGATTTTCTCCAATCAACAGCATTGCACTCAAAAAAGGCTCAAATGTCAGTTGCTCAAGTGAGTGTTCCTTGGGCTATCCAAAGCTTCTCTATCTATGCGGTATAACAGTTGGATGTTGAATAGAGGTTCCTGGTACCTTAACAAATGAACTAGCTACGGTATTACCCCAAGCCAATCTGGCTTTCTATCAAGTAGTTGAATGCCAAACTTAAAGCAACACGTGGTCATTAAAGGATTAGGACAGTAGTATACAGGACCTGTCATTGCAGTATAGCCTTGGCCTAAAGTTATCTTTCATATTAACAACGAAAATCTGCGTACTCAATAGTCAACAATCTCGAACAATTTACTATAAAAGAGACTATCGTCCCATTGTTACATCAAAACAGAAGTGACTAAAGATAGAATAAATGATTTTCCTCGAGTGACTTACGACGCACCTCATGTTGCTATTGCATAAGCACTAAGAGAATGGACAAGTACCATAATTAGCGCATGGCAATAGATGTTGTATTCCAAATCTTGCTGCCCATAATCACATCTAACAAAAGTGACTAAGCTAAAGAAAAGACTTGCCCAGTGTGACTTATGACACACCTCACGTTGATACTGCAGAAACTCTTAGAGAATGGACAACTACCATGACTATCACATGGCAATAGATGTTGTACTCCAATTCTAACTTCCCATAATCCACAAGCCAGCACGTGTAGAATGGTTACACGGCCTAGGTTGCTTTCTAGATTGCAACCACTCTACTACTGGTGCTATGCTCACTAAAAGAACATGCATGTATACTCCCTAGCCAAGAGAATTAGCATCCTAAAACCTCATTGACTCGTAAAGTGGCTACTACTAAAATCCCAAGAAGGCATGTTAACACAAATGAATAAAGAGTAGAAAGAACCCATCTTCAAGCAACACATTAGCAACATGCACATCGAGAGTAGAATGCATCAACTGGGCTTCGATGTAAATCATCTCCTTGGTGACAGGTACAGGAACCAAACTATATCTTTTGGCCCACTCGAAGTTAGAATGAAGCATGTGTGCAGCAACTTTCTGGAAAAGATCACACAAGCCAAGATAGCATGAGCAAATGTCCACCCCAAACTGATATTCCTCTTCTACAGAGAGCAGTAGACCTCTCTGTGTGTCAGTTGATTATGAGATCTTGTACAAAAGCTTTAGGTGATTGCTCCTATGATGTCCATAATCTGGTCACTCCAAGCAATCTTGCTGGAATCATATGAGGAGAGTGCATATATTTGGATAGAAAGTTAGAAACTAAAGTTGGGTAGGTATGGGAAAGTGCTTACTTGAGCAAAATTGATTACAATGCAAACTGCTTTGTGTAGGTATGGGAAAGTGCTTACTTGCATGAAAATAGGTAACGGATATGCTATAGACCAAGGGGAGAATAAGGAGGATGTATAACTGTTGGGTTAAAGGTTGTGTTAGTTTCCTTCCTTTATAAATCACCCTCACAAATACACTAACCCTCACACGCTAACCCTCATAGAAAAAAAAAACTACATCTTTCTGTCCCAAATCTAACCTAATCCAATGGCCATGTTTTCCCTCTCCATCATCCCTCAATGACCGCCCAAGCTCGGCCTTTCACTCCCTCAACAAATCACAAGCTAAGGGCCTTTGAAAATCCAATCACATCCTCCACAAAGCTCATGAGAACCCACCCAAAAACCTATCTCTGCAAACTTCTATCACCCCTCCTCTTCCCGAGGCCTTAATATCCCACACTTGTGCACCAAAGAGGTCGACAACAACAATCCCAGCTCTGACTCCAGATTTGATCTGTATAGGGATTTAGCACATCACTTGTCGGTTTGTAGGCTGACGGCGGCGAAAGCAATTGGGTTTGATCTTCCATTGACCAAGCACATGGTAGAGTCGGAGGCAGGTTTCTTAGGGAAACCTAGGAGCCTACTCTAATTGTTGAGTGCTTGCAGTTCCTTGCTCGTTTCATATATGTATCTGGATTCAGTTGGACTGATATGGAGGTGGTGAAGCTGGGTGTTCAAGGGATTTTAGTTTTTGATTATAGCAGACATCTAACAGACTCTAATGAGTAGAATAAGGAATCCACTGGAATCAACAAGGAACTCATTTGCAGGCACTCCACGATTATAGTAGGCTTTTGACGAGAACTTTTGATGTTACATGCATTATGGAGATGTATAGTTAATCTTTGTACCACTCAGTCAAGTATAAAATCTTATGAATTGTTGTCAAAAGGAGAAATATTGAAAAAGACCATTTTTTGAAAATAATTAGCAAAATTGATCATTTTGCTAAATAATTAGCAAAATTCACCTTTTTGCCCACGTCATCAAGATGTGCCAAAAAGAAGTTGATTTTGCAAACTATCATCTTTAAAACACATGGGACTAGTATTCCCGTGTAATTAGCAATTGCTAATTATTATGAGTTAAATTAAGCCCAAAATATACACGGCACTACTAGCCCGTGTATTCTGTAGACAAGCCAGAAAATACACGGGACTAGTAATCCTGTGTGTGTTTTGAACATGCACAGAACATGCACGCATGTTTACAACTTATCTCTTGTGCATATACAATATCTCCTATGTATAAAAATCTTCAAATTCACCTTATGTACATATCCAAACATTATAATCTCCATAAACATATAATTTTCATAAAATCATGTATATAACATAATACAATTGTAAACAATCCAAAACATCGCAATAGATAAACATATCGCAACAACACATATTATCTCCATAACCAAAATATCGCAACAAAACCAAATATATCAAATGTATTGGTTTACAAATAACCTATATTGATACCTTAAATAGAGTCAATAAAAAAATCTATAAATCGTTCACATACAGCCTAGAAGTCCACCCCTTACCCTTTGTCTCCCTCATCTTACCCGCTCATATTGTCATCCTCCTCCGTGGACTTGAGCTTGTACGAGCTTGCTGTCCGGTTGCACGCATGGTTTTGATGGTCCAGCTTTATCATCGTTCTTGCAAGATCCTTCTCCTCTCTGTCGATTTGGTTAGCATGCGTAAAAAAGATCCTCCTCCTCCATTACCTCTCAACAATCATGAAGATCCTCATGAGTTCGATTCAAAACTCTATGAACCCTCCCCACTATCCGCTGATGCAGAGATGCATGTACTCCTGAATCTGTTCATGCGATATAAAGTGCTAAACTCTCATTTGCAATAGCCTCAATATCATCAATATTTATCTGTAATTAAGTCAAAAAGTTACATATATAAGCAATTTGTAGTAATACGAAATAAGTGGACTTGCTGGTAAATAATTTACAAGTTCTCTCTCATCTAAATCCTTAAACATATATCTTCGTTGTGAGGCACGTTGTTGGTGTTCATCGAATGGAGCCGTGATCTGATTTATTATCTATCTTGTAGTAATCCTTCAATACCACCTAATGTAATCTGATCCTGAACAGGAGGATCAATCTGCTCCACAATACTCAAATGCCGATCATCCCATCTATATATGTACTGATGATGCGTATTTACCCATTCTATCTGATGCCCACCTTTCTTAGCCTTTCTCTCTATTCTTTCAACATCTTTTAGAACGTGTTGTGCCAAAGCAAACTGTTTAAACATGCGATCCGGCACATGCATCTTCACAATCTCAAAGTATATAAGAGGAACTCTTGCTCTCTATATAACTTAGTCTTCCATACAAATTGGTGGTAGATGAGTAAGATGATCACTGTATCGCTCCCACTCGAACTACAAATCATTTCACATATTCCACTTAGCTCCCAGCCTGCCACTCGAACTAGAAAACTCTTGCTCCCACTTGAACCTAGGTTATGCAAAGCATAAGCTTTAGATGGACAGATTCCACTTAGAGTTAGGTAAACACTTCCGATACGTAAACTGTTTTCTAGTAAAAGTGGGAGTTGCATGATGATCACTTTGCTCTCCATGTAACTTAGGCTCTTCGTGCAAATTTGTGATATATGAGCAAAGTGATCACTCGAACTTGGCTGCAACTAGAAAACTCTTGCTCCAACTCGAACCAAGATTATGCGAGACACGAGCTTCAGATGGATAGATTACACTAGGTTGCATGTAAACACTTTTGATATATGAAATATTTTCTAGTAAAAGTGAAAGTCATACGATGGTCAATTTGCTCTCTATATAACTTGGGCCCTTCATGCAAATTTGTAGTAGATGAGTAAGATGATCACTTGAACTTAGCTGCAGGTAAACACTTTTGATATGTGAAATATTTTCTAGTTCGAGTGGGAGCCATACGGGGATCATCTTGCTCATCTACCACCAATTTGCACGAATGACCAAAAGTTATATGGAGAGCAAGAGTTCCTCATATACTTTGAGATTGTGAAGATTCATATGACGTACCTAATGTTTAGACAGTTTGATTTGGCACAACACGTTCCAAGAAGATGTTGAAAGAATAGAGAGAAATGCTAAGAGAAGCGAGCATCAGACAGATTAGGCAAATATGCATCATCAGTCAGTGTTTTAAATATCGGTCGATATGTCCGACATGTCGGATTTAGAGGCCAATCGACACAATATGAAGCTTTTCAATACGTATTGTGTTTTCAGGGTTCATGTCAGATATATAGGAAGATATGTCGGATATGTCGGATGGATATGTCGGGTGATATGTCGGTTATGTCGGTCGATTTTTCAATCTGAAAAATTAGCTGGTTTTTTAAAATTTTTTGGTTATGTTTGTCTAATCAGATTTGAGTTTAAATTATTGATTGTCTTAATATTACTTTCAAAGACAAAAGCCGATTAAGTTAAGGGAAATGGAAAAAAGATCGAAGTAATATCTGTCTCTCATCTCTCTCTCCTTCGACATCTCATCGATCTCTTCTCCTAGCTCTTCCTTCGACATCAATATCGGGCGATCTTCTCTCTTCTTAACCGCTAATATCGGGTTTCTTACATCTTTTCTTCAACATCAACCCTAAGCATCATAAGTTATTTACTCTTTTATATGTTTAGACAATAGAATTTTTTAAGTCTATTTAGATTTTATTTATGATATTTATATTACACATATGCACACCATCTGATATGGCAATCCGATATTTTTTTATGTTCTCCGATATATCCTCGATTTTCGCTATCCGACATGAATTTTAGCCGTCCGACATGAACCTGACATCCGACATTTAAAACATTATCATCAATGCATATATAGATAGGATGATCGACATTTGAGTATCATGACGTAACTTGATCCTCCTCTTCAAGCATCAGATTACATCAAGTGATATTGGAGAATTACTAAAAGATGGATAATAAATTAAATCACAGCTCCACTTGATGAACACCAACAATGTGCCCTATGACGAAGATACGTGGTCATTGGTTTAGATGAGAGAGAACTTGAAAGTTATTTACTAACAAGTCTACTTGTTTTGTATTACTAGAAATTACTTATATATAACTTTTGACTTAATTGTAAATAGATGTTGTCAATGATATTGAGGCCATTGTAAATGAAGGTCTAGCACTTCCTATTGCGGGAACAGATCCAGAAGTACATACATCTCTATCAGCGGATAGAGCAGAGGGTTCGTAGAGTTTTGAATCGAACTCATGAGGATTTTCATAATTGTCGAGAGGTGACAATAGAATTTTTTAAGTCTATTTAGATTTTATTTATGATATTTATATTACACATATGCACACCATCTGATATGGCAATCCGATATTTTTTTATGTTCTCCGATATATCCTCGATTTTCGCTATCCGACATGAATTTTAGCCGTCCGACATGAACCTGACATCCGACATTTAAAACATTATCATCAATGCATATATAGATAGGATGATCGACATTTGAGTATCATGACGTAACTTGATCCTCCTCTTCAAGCATCAGATTACATCAAGTGATATTGGAGAATTACTAAAAGATGGATAATAAATTAAATCACAGCTCCACTTGATGAACACCAACAATGTGCCCTATGACGAAGATACGTGGTCATTGGTTTAGATGAGAGAGAACTTGAAAGTTATTTACTAACAAGTCTACTTGTTTTGTATTACTAGAAATTACTTATATATAACTTTTGACTTAATTGTAAATAGATGTTGTCAATGATATTGAGGCCATTGTAAATGAAGGTCTAGCACTTCCTATTGCGGGAACAGATCCAGAAGTACATACATCTCTATCAGCGGATAGAGCAGAGGGTTCGTAGAGTTTTGAATCGAACTCATGAGGATTTTCATAATTGTCGAGAGGTGATGGTGGAGGAGGATCTCTTATACGTATGCCAACCAAATCGATAGAGATGAGAAAGATCTTGTAGGAAAGACAATGAAGTTGGACCATCACATCCACACATGCAACCAGACAGTGAGCTCGTATAAGCTCGAGTCCATAAAGGAGGACGACGATCTGAGCGAGTAAGAAGAGAGATAAAGGGGAAGGGGCGGACTTCTAAGTTGTATGTGAACGATTTATGAATTTTATGTATTGACTCTATTTAAGTTATCGATATAGGTTATTTATAAACCAATACACTCAACATATGGAGATAATATGTGTTGTCACGATTTATTTATCTACTGCAATATTTTGGAGATAATATATGTTGTATGGAAATAATGTGTTGTCACAATATATTTATCTACTGTGATATTTTGGGTCGTTACAAGTGTATTAAGTTGTGTACATGACTTTATGGAAATTCTATGATTATGGAGATTATTATGTTTGAGTATGTACATGAGGTGAATTTGAAGTTTTTATGCACAAAAGATATTGTATATGTATATGAGGTAAGCTACAAACATGAGTGCATGTTTTGTGCAAGTTTAAAAGACACACAGGTTTCTAGTCCCGTATATTTTCTGGCTCGTCCGCAGAATACACAGGACTAGTAGTCCAGTGGATGTTCTGGACTTAATTTAACTCATAATTAGCAATTGCTAATTACACGGGACTACCAGCCCGTGTGTTTTAAAGATGATATTTTGCAAAAATAGACCTCTTTTGGCCAGCCTTGATGACGTGGCCAAAAAGAGGTTGATTTTGCTAATTGTTTGGCAAAATAGTCGATTTCGTTAATTATTTTCAAAATGGTCTTTTTCAAAAAATTCTCCCATGTTTAATAGTACGATTTAATGCAAAGCACCAGACAACCCCCAATCCCAAACTCATCAATTTTTCATACTAATAAGTGGCCAATCATGGGAAAGAAGAAAAAAACCATTACCAATTACATCCACGACTAACTATGAATCTCTACACCCATACCAACAACGAATGAAACCATGTAACTATCATATTTGCTTCATGTGGAAAAAAAAATCAAACCTAAATTTACCAAAAACCAACAAGAGACTCACTTTTGACATCAGATCAAGCGTTGGCAGTCTACTGAGTGATCGGGATCGCGACCCCCTGCCCAATCTTCCCTTTCTGCTTCTTCCTCTCCTCGAGCTCACGAATCTTCTGCATCTGAAGCATCCGCTCCATGACGAGCTCGTACTCGCACTTCTCATAAGAATGCCTCTCGTTCTCGCACTTCCATGGGAGGTAAAGCTCCTTGGACCGGCACTTGTTGAGGGGGATCAGCAGGTGAGCGCACTGATCGCGGTAAGGGATCGGGACCCTGTTCTCCATCATTTCTTGCTGAGTCGCGATCATGGGTTTTGAGGATCCAAGCTTGATTTCCTCGAACTCCGCCATTGGAATCGGGATTGAGCTCGATTGGAGATTTGGGGATTTAGGGTTTTCTAGAAGCGGAGGAGCGTCGGATGACGAAGATTTTGACTGAAAAGGGACTGTTTTTGTGCTCGCTAGGGTTGGTTTCCGATCCCGGGACGAGTCGGGTGCGGGTCACATCCGATAACTTAACCCCGGAGGCAGTTTCGGGTACGGCTAATAACCATTTACTTTTTACCCGACCCACTATTTATTAACCTACCCTCTCGTCGAAATAAGAGACTCCTTCGGGCCTTCCAGCTTCACCCTCAAATTTAGAAGAAGTATGGCGACAAAAAGCGAAGAGAACAACGAGAGCAACAAAAATCTCGAAGCTCTCCTTCAATGGGCAGCCGAAATGGGGATCTCAGATTCACCAACTTGTCCTTCATCATCATCATCTTGCTTGGGTCGCTCTCTCTTCGTCTCTACGTTCCCCAACGCCGGCGGGTACCTAAACTAATCAAGCCCTTTAGTCTTTTCTTCTTCAATTTCTAACAATGACCCGATTCTATTTAAAATTTGCAGAAGAGGACTTGCTGCTGCTCGCGATTTGAAGAAAGGGGAGCTGGTACTGAGAGTGCCGAGAGAAGCGCTGCTGACCTCCGATGGCGTGATGAAAGATGAAAAGATTGCATGTTGTGTGAAGAGACATCCTTATCTATCCAATACTCAAGTGGGTTTCTCTCTATTTTGATAGTTTTTATTTCCCTTCTCTTTTGGTTTATTGTTTGCCTATGTTGCTGTTATTTGGTAATTTTGTTGAGTATCTGGTTTGTTGTGGTGGGGAAATGCAAGCATTGATTTTGTTAGGATATACCTCAACAAGAACGCCTCGAACAGAGACGCAATACACACCCAAACAATTTTGGAATCACAGAATAACATGGTTCACTCTTACAGAGCTATTCCACGATGCAACGACGACGTCTAGATCTTTTATATTGCAAAAGAATTAGTTCAAAGAGAACACATTCTCTTGATCAAGATACACTCTAAGAATTCTCAACCCTCTCCTTGATATTAAGAAAAAACTCTCTATTTTTCCTTTCTCTCACTCTTTTATAAGAGGAGTTATTTCTGGAATGAGTTTTTCTGAAGAGTTTTGGTCCTATTTATAATATTTGGGAAATACTATGCACTAATAAAATATTATCCGTGGTAGAACCCGCCATTCTATTAATTTTAAACTCCTCGGCTTTTGGTGCCGAAATCTTTAATTTTGATTTGTGGGGCCCGTGCACTTTTCAAAATCAAATATTTTGACAACAACCCTTCAACAATGACGAAGAATGGGACTTGGGAGCTCGTAAAGCTTCCAAGAGAGCGAAAGGCTCTTCACAATCGGTGGATTTATCGGGTCAAGGATGAAGTCGATGGATGGAGATGTTACAAGGTGAGGTTTGTAGTGAAGGGCTATGAGCAGAAAGCAGAGATAGACTATTCTGACGTTTTCGCTCCCTTCATCAAGTTGACCATAATCCGGACTGTGTTGAGCATTATGGCAGTTCGAGATCTTCATCTAGAGCAGATGGAGACGATATTTCTTCATGGAGATTTGGAGAAAGAGATCTATATGCATCAATCAGTGGGCTTCGAGGAACGAGGCAAGGAGGGCCTCGTGTGTCTCCTGCGTAAGAACTTGTATGGCCTGAAGCAAGCTCTGCGATAGTGGTACATAAAGTTTGAGAACTTTATGGAGGAGAACGGTTTTCTCAAATACGACACAGACCACTGCTGCTTCATCAAGAGGTATAGCGAACCCTATGTGATACTCTTGATTTATGTTGATGACATGTTGATTGTTGGGCCCGACTTGGCCCGTATTAAGAAACTCAAGGGGCGTCTCTCCGAGTGCTTCGAGATGAAAGATCTAGATCCAGCAAACTAGATTCTTGGGATGAGGATCATCAGAGACAGATCAGCATGGAGGCTGAGGTTGTCTCAGAAGGCTTATATTGAGAAGATTCTTGAAAAGTTTGGCATGGAAAAAGCTAAACCGGTGAGCTCGTCATTTGTAAGCCATTTCAAGCTATCAAAAATCTAAGTACCAGAGACTGCTGAAGATCATGAGTTTATAGCCAACATACCATACGCATCTGCCGTCGGGAGTTTGATGTATGTGATGGTATGTACGAGGTCAGATATTGCACAATGAGTGGGAGTTGTGAGCCGCTTCATGAGCAATCCAGGGAAGCAACACTGGGATGCGATCAAGTGGTTTCTACGCTACTTGAGGTGCTCGTCCGACCGTTATCTTGAGTATGACAGGACAAATTTGCAGCTAGAAAGCTTTTGTGATGCAGACTACGTCTGGGACATAGACTCAAGAAGGAGCACAAGCGGCTACATCTTCATCTTGAGTGGTTGAGCGATAAGTTGGAGATCAAAGTTACAGGATATTGTGGCTATGTCAACAACCGAAGCCGAGTACTTGTCTGCAGCGGAGACAACAAAGAAATTGTTATGGTTGAAAGCTTTTCTTCTCGAGCTTAGGGTAAGTTTTGAGAAATACTTCATCCACTACGACAGTCAGAGTGTCATTCACTTGTCAAAGAACAACGCATTCTATGTTCGGACCAAGCATGTTGACGTGAAGCATCATATCATACGGAGATGGCAAAACAGGAACGAGTTCAAGTTTATGAAGATTGATACGAGTTATAATCTAACCGATATGTTGACCAAGCCAGTTTCGCTCGAGAAGGTGAGGCTGTATGCAACCTCATATGGTCTCCGTTGAGAACGTTGAAGGCTGTGCAAGACGCCAAAGATACAAGACATCCGGATGATGCAACCAAGAATGGTGTGAAGATATGATTGATACTCAATAAAATCTTCAGGTGGGTGATTGTTGAAAGGGCTGCTGTCGAAATGTTTGATTTTGAAAAAGTGGGCGGGCTCTACAAATCAAAATAAAAAATTTCGGCATCGAAAGCTGAGGAGTTTGAAATTAATAGGATGTTGGATCCCACCACTAATAATATTTTATTAGTGCATAGTGTTTCTCAAACACTACAAATATGGTCATAGTGTTTCTCAAACACTATAAATATGGTCAAAACTCTTCAAGAAAAACTCATCCTAGAAACAACTACTCTTATAGAAGAGTAAGAAGGGAAAATAGAAATTTTTTTCTTAATATCAAAGAGTTTATGAGAATTCTTAGAGTGTATCTTGATTAAGAGAATGTGTTCTCTTTGATCTAATTCTTTAGTAATATAAAAAACTGGGCATCGTCGTTGCATCGTGGAGTAGCTCCGTAAGAATGAACCACATTATATTTGTGAGTACTGAGATTGAATTTGTGTCTTTATTTTGTGATTGCAAAATCATTTGGGTGTGTATTGCGTCTCCGTTCGAGGCGTTCTTGTTGACGTATATCCTAACAGATTTGTTGGCTACCTACATTGAGTAACTGGAGATTTTGATAATTTATGTTTTGGAATTTCATTTATTGAGGGAACCCAAGTCACAAAATGCTAGGTCTTGGCTTTGAGTATAGTTTAGCTCTAACACGTAAGAAATTGTTAAGTATAAACTCATTACATGGTATAATGTATGATTAAGGATGTGAGATACCTAAGAATGGCATAACACCCTCCCAAATGGGCCTTTGAGTATAGTTTAGCTCTCACACATAAGAAATTGTTAAGTATAAACTCATTACATGGTATAATGTATGATTAAGGATGTGAGATACCTAAGAATGGCATAACATCCTCCCAAATGGGCCATGGCTAATACATTAGCGTGTGCAAGAATGTGATTGTGTTAAGACTTTCCAGCTAAGAGGTCCTAAGCAACATCTTACAGATTGAGATACAGTTTGATGAGTTTCATTGATTGTTGAAATTTTTTGTTGTTCATATGGCATGCTGCGAATGGGGAATTTGTTTCGTGTGAACCTTTTTAACAAATGATGAAGGCTTTTGTGAGCTCAAGTATAGCCACTTTGTCTTTAGCTAGAAGGTAGCTTACTATTCAAAGCAAAAAAATAAGATTATTTGTTTCATTAACATCCTAAGCTATTTGGAATTGCTTCTTTCTGAACCTTGTCTAAAATTTAAGCATTTTATCATTTCAGGTGAAACATGAGTGTCACTAGGTCGATTATAAAATTTCTATGTTATGTGCAATATTGGATATTGTTGCATATGCTCAGCAAGCGAGGGTTACTTGGCCATGGAGATCTTAAATAATATATTCTTCCATCTTCTGGACCTTTGTGATCAACATGTTTAACATCAATCATGCGTATGCTCAGAAAGCAAAGGTCATTTGCTGAATTAAATGGTGGAGATCTCAAATAATATATGCTTCCATCTTCTGATCCTTTCTGATCAACATGTATAACATTAACATCAATCATGCAGTTGGCTTAATTATGAATTTCATTGTACAGATACTGACTGTATGCTTATTGGCTGAAGTTGGAAAAGGAAGGGGTTCTCGGTGGTACCCTTATCTGGTTGAATTGCCTCGCTGTTATCACACACTAGCTAATTTCTTGCGGTTTGAAACACAAGCTCTGCAAGTAATGCTTTTGGTTCTTTTCTTGTATAGTGCATTTCCTAGTCAATATTATTTGCTTTTTAATCATCCAGCCATTAGATTTAATATTTCATCTCTGTTAGGTTGAAGAGGCCATTTGGGTTTCAGAAAAAGCTGTCTTAACATCTAAGTTGGATTGGGAAATAGCCACAGTTGTTATGAGAGAATTAGATCTCAAATCACAACTTTTAACACTTAGGTCATGGCTTTGGGCCTCGGCAACTGTAAGTGTCTTATATGAAATAATTATGCAACTAATGCTTGATTTTATTTCTTGATGGTGTCTTATTATTTTAACCATATGATTGGTTTCAATCTTTCCCTTTGAATTTGAAGATTACTTCTCGCACATTGCATATACCATGGGATGAGGCTGGTTGCTTATGCCCTGTTGGTGACTTGTTTAATTATGCTGCACCTGATGAGGAAATTTACTCTGAAGATGATACATCCTTAAAATGCAATGGCACCATGGAGCAACCAGATGCTGAGCTGCTTGAGTGTTATTCTCAGAGGTTAACAGACGGTGGATACGAGGACGATACTGCTTCATATTGCTTTTATGCTAGAGAGAATTACGAAAAGGGAAAGCAGGTAATTGCCAACATTTTCAGGTTTTATGTATAAGTTTCGGTCTAGTGTATTATGTTTGAAACTCCACGTAAGGTACCCCCTCCTTTTTCTTTTTCTTTTTCTTTTTCTTTTTTTTGTTGGCGACATTGAGGACTGCATGTTATCCATACAACAGACAAAAACTTTGTGAGCCACATGTTGTGTATGTTACACAAATTATTGAGAAATAAAAGCTAAAAGACATGCTTATCATGGTATTATCTACGATTCTACATAACTAGGAATTTTGGCTCATTTTTTTGCTAAATGACTTTGCTGTACCAAACAGAATGAAGAGCTATTATAGTCCTGCAGATCTTACAGATGGCCTCTTGTATCACCTGATATCTACTTGGAGATTTACCCCTCTACTTCATCTCTACTTTCTAATGGATCCCCTGTAGATTTTCATGATGGATCATACTATTAGTCATGGTGTAACTTTTTTTTAATTGCTTCCATCATCTTAGAATGAAGTGAAAATGATGCTCGTGAAGTCGCAGTTCTTCTCATGATATGACTTCTCTTTTTACCCTAATCTTTACAGTCCCATCATTTGTAGTGACTTTAATCTGGAAAACTTGTCACGTCCATGATAGAAGTAAGTAGAGACAGTCATCTCCACTAACAGATACCAACTTCCATTGTAGGAGCTGTTAGGATCGTGTTCGTATGTGTCTGTATAATTGACTTAGTTTGATAAATGACAAACCTTCATATCGGTCTAATATGTGTTGATATGTTGTATACATGTTACAAGAAGTTAGAATCAAGTTCAAAAGTGAAAAGAGCAAGAAACAAGTCAAAATCAGCAAAACAGCTTTATTTGTTGGAAAATTTGTAATAAGAAAACAAGGAAAGAACTGTATTTGATTTTATTCTCTCTAACTGCTTAGAAAAAGAATGATTACAATTCTCTCAACTCTCGATTACAATTTGAATTCCTGGTTACAAAAGAGAAGAGAATGATCTGGATTCTCCCCTTTGTTTAATTCTGGGTTCTTCACGGTAGCGATGGAGTGCCTCCCTCGAATGCTCGCGTCGAGTTTGCTCTCCGTTGACGATCCGAATGTCTCAATTCACTGGAACAACAGTCTTGTCTTGTTGATAACTCTTGACGAGTTTTGTGATTCAAACTCTAATAACAGTATTAGAGATGTTCAAACCGAAAATGATTCGGTTAATAAGCCAAGTATTCGAAGATCTGGAATTCTCAATGGATGTTGATTCCCCAGACTGTGTAAGGAATCAATCCTCTTTTTCTGATTCTGGAAGATCTAATCAAAATTCGATGCTATCTTCCGACCCCTCGATCCGATTCTTAAAAATCCGATCCTTAACTCTATTGAGTTTGTTGATATTTATAGGAGGATTAGGGGTGTAACCGCTCCCATAATCCGCTCCTAAATGAGGGTTTAGTTACCTCATTAATCGGTTGTAACAACCCACGTAAGCCACTGGAGCTGCGTTTGAGCTGTGCTTGGCAGCGGTTGGAGCTGCGTTTGAGCTGTGCTTGGCAGCGGTTGGATCTGCGTTTGAGCTGTGCTTGGCAGCGATTGGAGCTGCGTTCGACGGCGCTGATGAGCTGCGTTCGAGCAGCGGTTGATGAGTTGCGTTCAGGTTTCTCTATCTTTCTATATGGATGACACTAATGACCAATAAAGAAGGTCTTATTCAGGTCATTTGTGACAATTGAGGTATCTCAATAACGCTCTATCAACTGCAAGTCACGATCTCCACTAAAATTTCATGTTTTAACGATGTGCTCCTCAGTGTGTCGAATATTTGTTCACAGCTCTCTAGATCTTCCTGCTTTTCTAAAATCATTATACTGCTCATCAGCATCTCTAATGGTTGCTAATATGATATTAGTCATGTTGTTGTCGCAGCCATCAAGATCAATCCTCTCACATAAGAAGCGGCATTGGTGTTCGAATTGGTGTTTTATCTTGACGATGGTATTCAGTGAGGGCTTCTACGTCTTGGTTTGAAGAGATCGTCGATTTGTAATCTCTTTCTGTCAGAGCGTTGCTAAAGATCGTCGTTTCGTAATCCTTGCTTCAACTCCTTGATATATGAAAGTCTTCAAGTCGTAGCCTTCTGGAAGTCGTCAGATTATAATTTCCATGATGGGTGTTTGATGGGGAATCAGCTATCTATTGTCATTTTTAGACAGCCTACAAGCTTGTTACTCGTCGATGAGACAACCTGCAGCTCATCGATGAGGTCAAGCTCATCTATGAGTATGAGGAGAATAGAGAATGACAGAGAGCAAAACTGATTATAGGGTCTCGATCATTAATGAGACAACATGCTCATCGATGAGTCTGGAGCTATGCTCATCAATGAGCCAACCTGGTCATCGATGAGTGACGGGTTGATTTCAGAATCCTGATTTGATTAGGAATTAATCTGAACCATTTTTGTTGAGGCTATTTAAGGGCTCTTTCCACATGATTTTATTAGAGAATTCCTGACCTAATTCACAGAGAAAAAGAGAGCGAGGAGGAGATAGATCCATGGTTTCAACTTTGGTGATTATTTTTGCTTAGGCTTCTCAATTTGCATCCTCGTTGGTCTACATCATCCAATCATCAGCCATCAGGGAGTGCTGCCCTTGGATTTCAAAATCAACAACACTCTTTGTGGAGCTTTGCTTTTTGTCCTTCAAAGGATGGTTTGCATAATCAAAGAGCTATAAGATCTTTTTTTGTTGCGCTTAATTGATAATTATTGTTTTAGACTTGTTTTTACAGCGTACTCAAGCCAGTGTGAATTGAGGGTTTATGACGTACTCGAGTCAAGGTTGAATTGAGGAATTGATCACTAGCTAGGTCTAGGGTTACTCATGGTTAAGAGTTTAGGTTAGATGACTGATTTGGGGTAAAACTAGGGTTTCGAGTCGGGTCTATGATTCTGAAAAACTTTCATCATAGTGAGGAAGCCCATTCGCGAAAAGGAAGGGGAATGTGTGATTGTTTATCTGAACCATTGTAAAATTTTGTGTGTTCTGGCCGTATTGATTCTGATTATTTTCTGTGTTTATTGCTTTGCTTACTGTTTTATTATTATTATTTTATTTTCGCTGCATATTCTATGCACTGTTTTAAATATCGGCCGATAACCGATATTATCGGCCGAGTTATCGGATTTGGGAGCTCTCCGATAGGATAACTTGGATTTTTAATCGGTTATCGTTTTTGGCAAGTTATCGGGGAGTTATCGACGTTATCGGTACTTATCGGCCGATAAGTAAGGTTTTTTTATCGGGGTTATCGGCCGATAAGTAAGGCTATGCAATCGAATGGTTTCATCGTGCGGTCAAGATGTAAGTTTTGCTTTCTACAATTGGTTAGTGATTCTAAACATGATGATTTACATTTTAAGCATGGTTAGATTACATTTTTTAGTTATTATATTATATATATACACCATCTAGTATATCACTCCGATAAATACTACTTATCCCCGATATATCCCCGATTTCCGCTATCCGATAAGAATTTTGGTCGTCCGATAAATTACCGATAACCGATATTTAAAACCTTGATTCTATGTTTATCGAAAAATAGTAAGCAATCCTATTCACCCCCTCTAGGCTTGCATCTTAAATCCTAACAGGAGCCGTTCAACTAAGTTGTCATGATCACCACCTCAGTTTTTAGAAAATCAGTTCTTTGTTTTCTTTATGTGATGAGTGTAGTTGTTTTATGTTCAAATTGTAGTTCATCCTGACTTTCCATTCTGTAAATTAACTGCAGGTTCTTTTGAGTTATGGAACATATACTAATTTGGAGCTTTTGGAGCATTATGGATTTATTTTGGATGTTAACCCAAATGAGAAGGCCTTCATTCGACTGGATATTGATAGCCAGAAATTTAGCTCTTGGCCTAAAGAGTTTCTATACATTCATCCTGATGGAAGCCCTTCTTTTGCCTTACTCTGCACTTTACGCTTATGGGCAACACCAGCAAAACTAAGAAGATCAGTTGGGCATCGAGCTTACTCGGGATCCTTGCTTTCTGCTGAAAATGAGTTATTTATCATGAAATGGTTGGCAAATCACTGTCAAAATATTTTGGGACAACTGCCTACTACATTGGAGAATGATGAGTTACTAGTGGTCATCATAGATAAAATGCTAGACTATTCATCTTATCAGAAGTGCATTGACTTGCTATCCTCTGATCGAGAGCTCAACAAGTTCTTCCAAAATTATGGCTTACTAAAGGAAGGGACTGCTGATTATTCATTATCACCAAAGGTGAAGAAGTCATTGGAGAGATGGAGATTGACAGTGCAGTGGAGATGCAACCACAAGAAAATCCTCGTTAATTGTGTTTCCTATTGCAATTCTGTGGTTGACAGAGTCTCGTCTGACCGTGATTTCTCTAAGAGAATGGGTTACATATGAAACAGTAGCATTATTTTTGCGGTGGTCCTCCTTTTCTACCTTCTGGGGACATTTTGGACATCCGTTCCAGCATCCGGCTCCCGGTTTTCTTTCTGAAAGGATGCTCTCTCTTTCTTGAGGGATTTGCAATTGGAAAAAAAAAACAATAATGATGACGAGGGGTTTAGTATTCTACAGAGCCAGCTGCTCAATGCTATCCTTCTCATTCAGCCAGTGATCAATGAATATGGTATTAATCTCATCTCTTTTAGATGGAACTCATCATGGATCATAAATTTAGGGGTTTTTTCCTTATTATATAATACAACATTCACTTAAATAGATTAATATTTCATTATGCTTTATGACTTATTATTCATATTATTCTAAGGTTATACCTTCAAAAATTGGTGAATAAATATATTCCATGGGAACAGAGTGCCTTTAGAACAATTAATGCATGCTGTTCACTCCTCCCTGCAAGATTGGAGTAGCAAAAGCTTGCTGTTTTTTGCTGGCTTCTTATTGATTCTTCTTCCCCATTTCTCTGGAAATCCAGGAGAATGATCGGCAACAGGTTTTTTTTCTACTACTTAGAATTCTTTATGAGCTTTACTTAAAACGACAACATTATCAATTGTGAGAGTTTGTTGTGAAGGGATAGAGTTTCGTTGCTGTACATCTTTTATTTTTCATTCTAACCTCTAATTGGCCTTATATATTATAGTAAGAATTTGGAATTCCGTAAGCGCGGGCATGCCGTGATTTAAAATCACACACACACACTAACGCGCATACTACATACATAGACACAAAATCATTGGTGTCTCTCCACGGTAGTGGCTGGTGTGTCACTGGTTAGCGTGCGTCTGTGCTCGATGGTTTTCATGCATATACAATTAAGTAAGATTTGCTCTCGCTGCTTCTGAAAATTTATGCTATTAATTGATCAATACAATCCAAATTGAGATGTGACTAGGCACCTAGAGTATATCAATATGTTTTATCATGAAACATCTGGTTCAAACTTCAAAAGCATCCGCACCTGCTTGAGTTTCGACTCATGTTCCTTGTTCTCTAAGTCTAAATTGCTACTAATTGTGCAGTTATGGTATCACTTTACATGTTCGGAAGGCAGTTCTATGAAGCCCAATATTATTTTACATGCTGAAGATAAATGCAGTACATATTACCTGTTTCTAAAAGATTAAAAAAGCATTTGATATTAAAATTTGCTTCATCACTTACAGTTATGAACAGATATATCAGTCTTTACGATGTTATCTACCACATTAACCATCTCATACTCAAATAACATACAATTGTTTGGTTTCATTTGGTGTCCTTATTTATTTATGCCTGATGAGTAAATCTCGTGAATAATTGTCGTGCTACTCCTAAAATATCATCACAGCATTTTCCCAGCATGAGTTTTGTCTATGACCGTGCTAATTAGTTTTCGCCCCTAATATCTGCTAGGAATGGGGAAACTATTTCACGAACAACGTGATGAGAGTCCATTCAACTTCAAAGCAGTATGTAATGTTGGTTATACCTTAAATATTAATGGTGTAATCTAGGGCAGCAAGAAATGTCTTATGGGTTGCTTCTTACTTCTTCATACTTAAATGCCATGAATTATTTACATCCCATCATCAAGAGATTTGTCTCTTTACCTTATTTATGCTACTGGGTTTAAGCCCTCAATTTCTTCCCAAAATTAGATTGCGGTATCTTATTTTCTTGTTTCGCTGTGGTTCTTTGTATTCCTTTTTCCTGAACTTTAGGAGGAAGGAAAGAATATTACAAATGAAGTATTACATATATATGCTCAATCTTTTTCTAAGCATCACTGCTATGAGAGTGAAGATTCTGAGTATTCTGTTATTTCTTTCTTGCTCTGGTGCCCTTTTTCTTTTGGCATCTTCATTGTATCTGCCGAGGCATAGCTTAATAATTTCTTTTCTACCTTTTCAATTTATTTGAGATCTTTCGATAAGTAAATCCAAAAACTTTGATATTTGGAGTCATGTTAGAAAACTATTTGAGCTTCTTCAAGTTTTGAAGCTAAATAGAGTGCTAGAAATAATCTGCAATGTTAACAAACAATGAAATTATAAAAACTGACTCTTTGATGGTTTAATTCCTCTAAATGTATTAAGAAGTATTCACGCACTTCAATTTCACATGTCAATATGGTGCATCCTATTTGTGTGAATAAAAACTTCAACATATTTAAGAAAAATAAAACATTCATAAAAGGGTTACTGGACATTTGATGATATTATTTTTCTTACTTGTACTAATGAAAATTTGATGATATTGACATTTGATGATATTATTTTTCTTACTTGTACTAATGAAAATTACATGTTAATGTCACTTTATGAATACGACATTATCCAATGAAAGACATATTTTACTAATTACTGCGGGGTTCGGGATCCAAATCTCAGGAGAACTTATGCTCGACTTTATTCCTTGCTTAATCAATTTTCCTTTTTCTTCATCCTCATCAACTAGCTTGTCACCTTGTCTTAATTTATTCATTTTGTCTGCTTGATGTTCTGAAGGTTGGCCTTATCTTATATCTTTTACATATGTATGTATCAAAAAATAAATATATAAATAAATATCCTCATGATTCACCAACCTTATAAAAAATATGAAGCTGCTTGTTCTTGCCTTATATTTTAATTTTTAAAGCATGGAAAAGTATCATCTCGGGATGCAATTTGCCGGCCTTCTAAATTGGTGAATTAGCAGTGTATCTTGCATATAGTATCAAACTGTCTCATGTCTTCTTATGTAAAGTACAAAATAATTAGTACTTAAACTTAGGTTTGTGCTTATAAATTTGGATTTAATGCATAGATCATCTCACACCTTGATCCTTTGAGCACATATGTCGAACAACCGAGTAATTCTTAGTAACTACGAGGAACCTTATAGTAGAAAAACACTCAACCTAGATGGAAAGAACTGTCTAGTTTGCTTAGAATTCCGTCTACGTAGGCTAACCTAGACTGAAATCCTTCTAGGAAAATCCATCTAGGATAATTCCATCTAGGTGGACTCAACGTAGACGGAATTCCGTCTAGACTGTTTTAATTAAACAAAACTCAACTAGACGGAATTCAACTTTCCGTCTAGGAAGCATTATCTAGACGGAAATTCCGTCTAAGATGCTTCCTAGACGGAAATTCCGTTTAGGATGCTATAAAAGCAACCTAGACAGAATTTTCCATCTAGAATAGCTTTCTAGACGGAATTTTCATCTAGGTTGCTATGTTTCACTGAATTTTTTTTCTAAAATAATTAATCCGCGACAACAATATTACATTTACATGTTTATATAATATTATACCATTCAAAATTTATCGGCAACAACAATAATGTCATCATAATAAACAAATCAAACCATGATATCAACTACCTCGACACTTTATAACATCTCTCGTACATTCAAAAACACAAGATCAAATATCCACAAACTAATCAGCAGCACCAAATAAACAAATCCATAACTAAAAACATGATCACAATGTCTTTATAAACATGTCAATATTCCCACATAATTGAAAACATGATCACAATGTCTTTACAAACATGTTAATATCCCCACATAACTGAAAACATGATCTCTATATCTTCACAAACATGCCAATATCCTCACAAGCAAGTCCAAGCCATAAATTAATACAAACTTGATAAACAAAAGTGTAAATCGCAAACTTTGTATGTTTGAGATACAAAGTATTAAAAACCCACTACGTAAGGCCTTCCGCCTCATCCATGTCATCGTCTCGATCATTAGCAGTGTCTCCATGTATAGAAAAGCATTTGACCTTATCACACAATGGAAAAAAAAAAACAATATGCATTCACAAATAAATTTAATAAATAACACGTAATATTTGGCTCATCATAATAACCATGCAGAAATTCTTACAAAATGAGGAATAATGGCTAGAAATCTTGTATAGGGACTGTAAACATAGTCATTACAAAATGCCAATGGAAAATTTTACCTTTTGACTGCAAAAGCCAGCACAAAAGAATTCACATTTAACGATTGCACAATGAGGAATCTGCCACGTTTTAACTAAAGATACACCGAAGTTTATTATCCCTAAAAATGACTCTGAACTTCAAATTTTAATGGGTAGCCATAGTCAACTCACTTTAGTGTAACAAACTTAAAATGTCTTCGAACTTTTGGTACTTTCTTGGCCAAAAAAACTTAGGGTATCAAAGTTAGACAATTACATAAACTTTTGGTATTTAACTACAAATAGCCCTATATCAATTGAAAATATAATGTAATTATGATTAAACATCACATAGGCACATAACTATGAAATTTAAAACCATGTAATTCAGCTGAAGAAAATTAAGAAATACCATAGGAGCTCTATACATGGTAGCATGGAGACTGTCATAAGAATTGACCAACAGAGGCAATTTCAAACATTTACCATGATTATGAAATAAACAAAAAAGCTAAAGAAATCTCAATAAACTTGTACATCCAGGAAGCTAAAGAAATAAAAGTATAAATACATCTAAAGTTACACTTAGTGGACAATCTTATTTGAATTAAATAACAAAAAAATCACAATGTCATACCATCGATAAGACGTTTCATTGATTATGAAATAAACAAAAAAGCACCACATTCATTACTTCCTACTTCATCATTGTGGAAGTAACTTCTTTCAGGAAAATGGTACAGGCACACCACCAACCACACCTTGCAACACACTCTCCTCTCTCAGCTACAGTGCACGGAGCCTACATGAATTTTTTTTTAAAAAATTTCATGTGGGTCCCGTGCACTGTAGCTAAGAGAGGAGTGTGTCCCAAGGTGTGGTTGGTGGTGTGCCTGTAGTGCCACCCAAGATCAATCAAAAAGTTGAAACTTAGGAAACCCCACAGCATATGAAGCCCAAACAATTCTAAACAATTTAGGTATATGTACAAAAAGAACCTCATTTTACTGCTAATAATATTATGTATGTTTTAGACAAACATCATACAGTTTTAGAAAAATAAATAACCTTGAGCAAATGAAGGCTCTCGACCAGAGCTACCATTGATTCCACCAGCTATTCCTTACTTTATCTTGAAAGTCTAGGTGTGCCATGAGTGGATCCATCAGGACCAGTGCTACCATTGATTCCACCAAACAACTGCCATAAATGGAAAATTTAAATGAAATGATATAAAGTAAGGAATTAGCAATTAACTAGCTGTTTGAACCGAAAATATGTGGAAACGTAAACAAACATCTGCGAACAACACAGGGATGTGGCGACCTCTTGTTAAGAGCTCAGTTTCATGTCAGTCCCTCATCATCATATTTCGCTTTTTCTGAAAATAGGAGTTTTCATCGGCAATCAAATGCAATTTGAAGTTCTCAGATGAAATAGACATTTAAAATTTAGTTAAAATGCAGATAACTCAATTTAATCACAAGCAATGTTATAGAAGGTGGTAGGCGGACTATCTGTTTGAGCTAGTGCCTAGCGTCTAGATGTCCAGGTGGCGCCTAGGTGTTTGGCTATTTTTAAAATTATTTAATTATAATAATTGATAAAAAAAAATGTATTAAATTCATATAAATTTGTCTAAAAAAGATAGCAATCTTAAATCCATAATAAACCATACATACTTAAATACTAAATAGCCAAAATAATAACTAACAATGTTATGGAGAGCGTTAAGATGCCTAGTCATTGGACCTAACGCCTAGAGCCTAGGAGGTTTTCTATTTTTATTTTTAATTACAATAGTTGATTGTAAATGTCAATATTATAGAGAGCTTAGGTGTCGGATTGGTGTCTAGGTGGATTTTTTTCTTCATTTAAGTGGTGGTCGAGGAGGTTTTGCTGAAGGTCAGAGGAGGCAGTGGAGGTGTTCATATTTAGAAGTTAAAGAAGTTTGAAGGAGCTTAGAGGACGTGGAGGGTGCAACATAAAAAATCACGATCAAGACCTAAGGGTGCAGTCCACGTAAACAGACAATGCTCCTCTAAACACTGTCAAAATCTAGGTGGACAGCTTAGGTACCGCACAGGTGCTAGGCGCTAGTAAGGCTGCCTAGGTACCGCCTAGGCCTAGGCGTATGCTTAGACGAAGGCTTTTTAAAACAGTAATGACAAGGAGGGAAAATAACCAAGATTTCCGAAAAATTAAAAAAATTCAGAAATTACCTTCAATTGTTAGCTGAAGCTTGAAGGACAAGGAGGGTTTCACTATTAAGGAAGGAAAATTAGGGTTAGGATTTTGAGGGAAGAAGAAATTAGGGTTAGAACTTACATGAAAGCGGCAAGGTGAGGTTGAGGCGACAGTGAGCGGAGATGGAGGTGGAGGAATTGGGGTTAGGGTTTGGGCGAGCGTCGAACAATGGGCAACGAGAGGCAAGTTGGTCGACCGAGCTGTGGGGCGGTGATAGAACGAGGGTGGTGGCGCAGTGATAACACGACGGGCGGCGGCGGCAGAACGAAAGCGGAGGGTGTTTTGTGTGTGTGAGAGAGAGAGAGAGAGGTAATGAGGAAAATGAGTTTTGGAGGCAGCGGGGTTTACAAACGGGGCTAGGGGTTTTTTCCTGTGGGCCCCACCATCATAGACAGAAATTTTCCGTCTAGGTTGCCAACCTAGACGTAAATTTCCGTCTAGGTTCAGGCAACCTAGACGGATTAACATAGATGGACGGAAAATTTTTCATCTAGGTTGCCTCAAATTAGACGGAAAAAATTCCGTCTAGATTAATCCGTCTAAGTTGTTTGGTCTTCTACTAGTGTTATAAATTAGAAAATTGAAGATAATAAATTAAAAAAAGACAGATGCATAAATATGATTAGGACTTATTTATCCAAAAAATACTTTTATACGTTGATGCTATATTAATGATTTTCTACATCTAGTTTTTCACGTCTTTCACTAGCTGGTGAAATTTGAATATACAAGTGCTCAAGCTAAGATTCGACTGCAATATTTGTTCTAGGAAAGATACCTGTTCTAAATAGAGCTTTTATGTTTGTCCCGTGAGGAACGGTTGAAGGTGAGCGTGGTTTCAGATGCAATTGAGTATAATCATTAAAATGCTGTTTGAAACCTCCTTAATAATGCAGGAATGAGATGAAGTTTTCAGTATAAAGCATTATTAGAAAATATGAGATTTCATTTCAAAAGGGGACAAATTTTCAAAACCATCCCTTTTTAAAATTTATTTATAAAAAACGACCTATTTCAATTTTAATTACAAAAACAGACCCAGTTGGATGAAACTGGGTCTGTTATTTATAAAAAACGACCTATTTCAATTTTAATTACAAAAACAGACCCAGTTGGATGAAACTGGGTCTGTTTTTGAAAAAAAAAATTTAAACTTCATGGGAGTATAACTCCCGTGAAGTTTTGTTATGAGAAAAAACTTCACTGGAGTTCAAATCACGTGAAGTTTGAATTTTTTTTTTTTTCAAAAACAGACCCAGTTTCATCCAACTGGGTTTGTTTTTGTAATTAAAGTTAAAAAAGTCTTTTTTTTAGAATAAATTTTAAAACCGGATGGTTTTGAAAATTTGTCCTTTCAAAAGGAGGAGGTTTGCTTTGGAAAAGGAGAGGAAGAAGACGCTAAAACGATAATCGGAACGAAGAAAGTAAATATTTCTCGATGGAGACGTACAAGACTCAAAAGGAGTCCACGGCTAATCTTAGCCCATGAAGCTATTCCTTTTTAGGTTCTCACTTCATCCTGTTTTGATATATGCTATTTAACTGTGAAAAGGAAATCCACTAACGTAATAAATTAGTGCCACTTTTACTCTACGTCCAATTTCCATTTTTCACTAGGCAGCCTGCCGTTGATGGCGACATGGGCATCATTCTATCCATCTACAAAGAAATAGAAAAGTTAAAATTATGCTATAAGACTAAACTAAGCATCTCTGATTGTGATTATCCCACCCACCAACCTAACGTACGGCTCCCAAGCAAAATACCAGCCGCGTGCATGCATTCATCGCCTCAATCATCATAAAATTCCAAGCACATGGTGTTTTGCAAATTACATAATCCTCTCCCTTTCGTGTGATCTCATCCTCTCACTCTCTCTCTCTCTCTCTCGAGCCACACCTCGCAAAGAATACGCACGTACAAGCTGGCTCTCACCTCCTCAAGCAGTACAAAAGTAGATAATGCCATGCAACATGGTCCCTTGGCGCTATCTATGGAGGCCCCCACCCCCCCCTCATATCTTCTTATCTATATATCTATAATAATAGACCTCTCTTCTACCTCTCCAAAGCTTTTCCTCTTTTAACAAAAACCCTTCTCTCTCTCTCTCTCTCCCTCTCTTAATGGCTTTTGGGGTTGTGCAACAAACCCAACAACACCAAGGTAATTTTAGCTCAACTCACTTATTTTATCCTTCATTAGTTGCTCTCTCTCTCTCTCTCGCTCGGTCTCTAATATGCGATCATTTAAGAAGAAATTTGGTACGAAGTACAAGCGTCTAGTTCTCTGCTGCAATCATATGATTTTAATCTAATGATGGTCATTTTCTGTTTATATTAGTTAATAGCCTTGGGTCTTATCTAGAACAGCGCAGCGATAACATTTAATAAATTGAGAGGATTTAAAGTTGGGCTTATTGGACCGTCTTTTTAGTGCTTGTTAGCTCAGCCAGCCCGACCCCGATAAGGCCGTTCGGACCAAACGGACGCGTGTCCTTCTCCCATTAGCTTTTTAGAAATGGGAGGACCGGCGTCGCCGAGCGAACCGTACGCTGACGCGTGTAACTTAG